ATTAGGACACATCCTACCCTCATATAGCTTACTGATAACATTTATTCACAGCACCGTGTTCAAATGTCAACATACTTTGGGGTGCTTGGGGGCAGGGGGGGAATTCAATCAGTAACACTGTCTGTCCCAAGGATATAAACCTTAAAAATAGAGAAGGAAGCTTTTACCATGCCAGCTTTATCAGTGGCAGAGCACAGAATCATATTTATTTTCTTCATTTCTTTAATACTATAGTAATAATACCATTAAAGATTTAATAACTGAACTGATCATCTTTCCTAAACAATTAAAATACTGTACAAATATGGTGTAAAATAAACTACCAATGGGGCAATTCTCTAAGGGGGAAAAGTCTGCAAACTGTTAAAGCAGCATGTGATTTTCAGTATACTACGGGGTTCCCATCCCACCCCCACCCCAATTTTTTTTTTCATAAAGCTATGTATTTAAAATTTTTTATAAAACAACCTTATCGCCTTCAAAGTACTCTCCATTACACTTAATACATTTGTCAAATCTGTGATTCCATTCTTGGACACATTTTTCAAACTCATCTGTTTGGATGGCTGACAGCACCTCCCTCATTTTTGTCTTCACCTCTTCTACTCTGACCAATCTCTGTGCTTTCATGTTCCTCTGCATGCAAGGAAACAAAACAAAGCTGCATGGAGTGAGGTCAGGTGAGTAAGGTGTGTGAAGCAAGAGAAGCAGGCTGTTTTTTGCCAAAAACTGGTGCACTGAGATGGCTATGTGAGCAGGTACATTGTCATGATGACAAAATCCTTCCCCCATCTGCCACATCTCAGGCCTTTTTTGTCTTACACTGCTAGGCAATCTTTTCAGAACCTCTAAATAGAAAGCTTGATTAACATTCTGACCTGGAGGAATGAACTCCAAATGCACTATCCCCCTCACATCAAAAAAAACAAATGAGCATTGTCTTGATATTTTATTTCACTTGAGTTTTCAGGTCTAGAGGTGAGAATGGATTCTTCCACTGGCTTGATTGATGTTTGCTTTGGGGGTTGTAAGAACAGCACCATGTCTCATCACCAGTAATGACCTTGGAAAATAAGTCTGGGTCGCATCAGAGCTATTCTTTCAAAGCACAGCACATTTCTAGTCAGCACTCTTTTTCCTGGTCAGTCAGAACCGGAGGCACAAATTTTGCAGCAACCCTTCGCATTCCCAAATATTCGGTTATAATTTGCTGAACCGAACTTCAAGATAGTCCAGATAACTTCCCCATCTCTTCAATGGTCTGCCATCGGTCTTCAAGCACAAGTGTATGGATTCTGTCTACATTTTTGTCCATTCTGTAAGTTGATGGATGTCCAGAACAAGGTTTGTCATCAATCAACATTTCACCTTTTTTGAAATGAGAAAAACATTTGTACACTTGAGTTTTTCCCTTAGTGTTATCCTTGTAAGCTGTGTTCAATATCACAACAGTTTCTGTGGCATTATTCCAGAGCAGGAAAGGAAATTTCATAGCTGCACGGTTTTCTCTTAAATTGGACAACACAAAAAAATGAGGTTTGAGTCAAACTGTGTTAACAAAAAAATTCACTGTGACCAGAGAGGACATTCCCAGGTGATGCCACTGGGTGCACTAACTCAGAGTGAGTTTGTCTGGTGGAAAAAAAGATGTGTACTATGAAAGCTCCACCCAGGGGAGTTTTTTCACTTTTTTAGAGGTACCCACTCGTACCTCCATTAAGAGATGATTTATTATGGCTGAGTGAACTCTAGCCATCACATCTGCATTACAGGTAACAGGAAGGAGGGATGACAGAAGGATCAAAGAGTTCTTCTCCCAACTCAATTGGCTTTATCTTAGCACCCTTTTCCGTTAAACCTCAGTCAACATTTCTTCATTGAATTCATTGCCCAAAACATGGCTATAGATCACATGTAGATGTAGTGAAGGGAAATGTAATTTCATAATTAAATGTTTTGTATCCAGCAAAATTGGAGTTATATTTCTAAAGAATAAAGGCAAAGGGCAGTGATTTATGCCCCTCGATAGATACAAATTTTCAGCAATGAGTGTATGTATATAACTTTGAATGAAGTGTATAGGCTTGAAAGCAGTGCTCACAAAAAGAGTACTGGACTAACAGACAAAAGTCCTCATCTTGCCTCTGCTTTTTATCAATAACATCCTGAATAAATCACTTAACTTCTCAGAAATTCAATCCGTCTTGTTTGCAATGTAGATGCATCCATTGTTTTTCTCTCTGCTCTCTAGTTGTAAATTTTAACTGAGCTAATCCATGCAAAAACATTTTAGAACTAATTCTAGAGAGGAGAGAAACAGAGAGGATGTTGTATTAATTTCCTAGGACTACAGTAGCAAGATACCTCAAACTGAGTGGTTTGAAATAATCAGATGTATTGTTTCTAGTTCTGTGTGTCATAAGTCTGAATTCACGGTATTGGCAAGACCAAGCTCGCCACAAAGCCCAAGACTCTAGAACTAGAGGGAGATCCCGCTCATCTCTTCTAGCTGCAGGTACCTCTTGGCTTGTGGCAGCACAACATCGATTTCTGCTTGCGTTTTCACATGGTTGTCTTCCGTCAGTGCCTTCTCTCTGTCTTCATATGGTGTTCTTTCCATGTCCATTTCTTCATGCCTTTCTCTTGTATAGGCCCACCCACCCTACTTTAGTTCTTGAGTAAGTCTATCTGCAAATATATTGTGTTCAGGCAAGATCATAGTCACAGGTGTGTGTGTGTGTGTGTGTGTGTGTGTGTGTGTGTGTGTGTGGTGCTGATGGGGTTTAGAACTTGAACTTACCTTTTTTGGGAGACACATAGCAACTAATAATAGAGACACTGCAGCATTTAAAATGATTTAACGAATCACTGGGAACAGGGAGCTGAAGAACTAGCCCCTTGCCTGTTTTTCTAGAGACAGTTCTTAAAGCTGACAGAACTGTGCTGCTGCTCCTGCCTCGATCCAGCAGCCATCTGTTAAATGGGGAGTCTTGCTAGAGTTTTGGCTCCAGAATCACAATGCTGCAGCGTCTGTCTGATCCAGCTTAATCCACACTAGCAAAACAATGCCTCATGCCATTTTTTTGCCTCACTTAATCTCTGCTCCAGAACCAAGTCTCTCATTATTCCATCTGATCTGTAATATCTCTGTCAATTAAGACTTCTAGCTTCAAGGGAGTTCAAGAAATAGGGCTTTTACAATCTCTGCTGGAAAAGAAAACACCATGAAACGAGTTGAAATAGATGCTGGATGTGTCAACTCACAATCTGCTAGAGGAATTTTAGAGTACTTATGAAATGAGGAGTGCTATTTGAGGTCCAAAACACTGGCTACAAGTCTCAGAAATGGAATTATTTCAATATGACATAATGTAATCATAGCAGAAGCTTTCTGGTAACTCACTTATTCCAAATATGAATTGAATGAAGAGGCAGAAGGCATTGGAAACATTCACATTCATATGTGCAACATGATATTTTTTAAGTTAATACACTCACATCACATTAAACTCAGGTTAGACAGGCGGATGTTTCATGTAGAATATTATTTGTTAATATATAAAAGTCCTGTGACTCTGTTTACATTGATTAGGACCAGAATAGTTTAATTATTTAAATGTGTTTACAAATCATGACAAAGCCACAATAATTAAAGCTGAACATGTAAATACGTTAGATTGCAGAGATGATCTAATGAAGTTTTATTGACTAGAAGAGTTCCCAATTATTATCTTTCTGCTTGAACAGCTTGGCAAATAAAACAGAAGGCATTAAAAAACAGATTAGCGTTATGGAAGCATGACCACAGTTCTTAATGAGTCTGAAAATATGATGGAAAAGGAAAAGTGTTTATTACAGAGAAGATGGTTTGGATGCTGCAGATCAGCCTGGCTTCTGAGACGAGCAGACTCTCACCCTGAGGATGCAGAACACACCCAGGCAATAGAATCTGACTGGTGCATTGTAGTAGACCTCTATAGTCAGTGGGTGGAAGAACCAAGCTGAAATTTGCAAGACTGCTTTACTGCTGTTAGTTGCTATTGAATTAATCCCAGTAGATGACAACCTCATGTGCTACAGAGCACCACTGCTCCATGGAGTGTTCAAGGTTGTGACCTTTGGGAACTAGATTGCCAGGCCTGCCTTTCTAGCACCTGTGGGTGAGTTTGAACCAGCAACCTTTTTTCCTAGAAGGTGAATACTTAACTGTTACACTCAGGAACTCCCCAAAGACTGTTTAGAGGCGGCTGATCAAGATGAGGGCAGGGAAGCAGTGAGAATGTCTTTCTAAAATCTCTTTTCTTTCTTTCTTTTTTTTCTTTCAATGCTGGGTGAATGGTTCTCAAGTTTTTTGCTCTCTTCAAAATCACGGAGACCCACAAAGAGATTTTGTTTATGTGCATTTATCAACAGTTATTATATTAAAAATCACAACTGAGAAATGTAATTGGTCCCAGAGATATCCTCCGAAATCACTGTTTCAATTGGACCGTTTTCCTGGATGTACCCTAACAAGAGAAAGACAGATCTATCACAAACTTATTTTCTGTCATCCATTGATCACAGAGGTGTGCTTAAGCATGTTTGTTTGGAATAAAACTGTGCACACGTGAATGAGAATCCAAGAAGCAATGTTATATTTTACCTTACCTTGTACCTATACTACCCAGGGAGCAAGGTCTAAGCACAGACAGTGGTTTCTGAGTGAATTTGCTGGGTCCTTAATTCAAGGCAGAGGGGGGAACTCAGGAGGCGATGGGGACTGTTTTGGGGTCTCCAAAGGGAAATGGATTTTTGATTGATCTTCTCAAAGGGCACAGCACACTCATGGAGGCATCACATGGAGTGTTAAGAAAACGGAAACCTGCATTGGTGAGAGCAAGGCCAGGGAAGTTGCACGGAGGGGTGTTTCCATCACAGCATTGCGCCTGCACATTCTCTGTGTCTAGCAAAGCCCGTCCCTCAACCTTATCCCCACCCAACCCCGCCGCGAGCCCTACTTCTGCCCCTTTAGACTTCCTTTCGTTCCTCAAACTCAAAGAATGTTGAAAAGGAGCACAATATGAAACTGTCGAAGATGCCACACATTTTGACACAGTGTAAATCAAAGAACGAAAGTGCAGAATTCTTTAGGGACGTGTTAGATGGAAACGCCACCTCCAGATGTGTATAGAGCTAGGTGGAGGCTGTGTCGAGAAACAGTAGCTTCATATTTTGATATTTTTATTTAATAGTGGTTTTGTGGTTTGGTAGCAGTGCCTTGAAATGTGCTCGCTCATATCCTAGGTCTCAGATGTAAAAAATGTAATCATTTTTTACTGCTTCAAGGAATTTCTTAAGGAATGTGGCCTTTTTCCCCTTTGAATGCCTGGTAGTGAGGAAAGTAATGATTACTAGTCTAGTAGTGTCACTGACTTGATATGTGAGAGAAGATCAATAGCCATGATTGCTTTTGTATCATCCGTGAAAATATCAAGAGATTAAGAAATGCAAACAATGCTTTAGTTTTGTCATGGAGATTAATGCTATCATTTGTACGAACCCCCTGAACTACTGCTGCAGTGCTGTTTGAATGGATGGCCCCTGGGTAGCTTTGTACTGGGTCAGGGGAAATGTCATCGTCCTTGGAGTGTGCAGTGAAGAAGCCACCATCTTGGGCTAGATTCAGACACATGAAACACTGAAGCGATCTGAGATGATTATTTGTGTGCTGTTGACACGAACCATGAATTTCTACCTGAGGAAAAAAATGTTCCAATTAAAACTAGCATGAAGAAAACAATTTTCTCAGTGCTATTGAGGTTCTTTTCCTTGTGTTCTTCTAATATACATTTTTATGGACTATCTCACCCATGCCCATGGCTTAAAAAAACAAAACAATAAAAACCCTCACTGCCGTTGAGTTGATCCTGACTCATAATGACCCTGTAGGACAGAGTAGAATGGTCTCTGTGGGTGTCCACGACTTTAAATCTTTACAGGAGGTGACTATCTCACCTTTTCCCCATGGATTGGCTGGTGGGTTTGAACTGCTGATCCTGTGGTTAGCAGCTCAATGAGTAACCCACTAAGCCACCAGAGCTCTGCCCATCATTTAATCCACAATCAGTTCCAGGTTCTGTACCTCTTACAAAGAAGCCCCCGAGTGCTGAGTTGGCATTTCCAATCATTCACTGGATATCTTACAGACACCACAAATCCAAACAAGGAAAGCCAGTTGCCATGGGGTCAGTTAAGCTTTATGAGGGCCTCACATATGTCAGAGTAGAACTGTATTCCACTGAGTTTTCGGTGGCTGATTTTTTCCCAATGGCTGAAGTAGATTCCAGATCTTTCTTTCGAGTGCTTGTGGGTGGACTAGAAATCCCAATCTTTTGCTCAGCTGCCGAAGGCATGAACCATTTGTTTCATCCAAAGGACGCCAAAATGTTTAAAAGTGCACATTCCACCCCCTGCTGTTAAGCAAAATGATGCAGCATGACTTTTCTATCTATAGTCTATGTCACTCCCAACAAGCGACTGTGTGTGAACCTGGAAATAAATTGTAGAATACTCACTTGGGGTTGATTTTGCCATTTCACAGGGTGTCACAGTGAGCCATCTCAGAAGCAGGAAGAAGAAGCCTACAACCATCAGGAAAAGACACCAAGTGAGTGGTGGAGGCAGCAGAAACAGAGGTTGCATGCAGAGACCACGAGACTGAGTAGCTCTTGGAACCATGAGGCCGCATGGCCGGTGGGTTTCCTGGTCCACGGAATGAGGCAAAAGTCAAGGCTGAGAGACCGAAAACCAGAGAGAGACCTATCTGCCTGACAGCCTGACTGCTTAGAGGTTCTGTGGAGAAAAGAACTGTCTCCTTAACATTCTGTAACCTGCTAGCTCTCCTAAGCAGCCCCTTCATCATGAGGACAGTTGTGAGTGCTGCGTAGCCATTGGAACGCAAACTCACAAGAAAGTTGAGTGTCACGCGAGGGCTGATTGGTGTCAGAATATAATGAAGAAGGATGGAAGGCACAGGCATGTCTGATTTCTGTCTCATTCAAGCGCAGATGTGGAGTTGGAGTCTCGGCATCTCTTGTGTAGCAGAGGAGGTCAGATGTGGTCCTTATGCTATATCCTCACCACCTCCCGAGCCCTCCTCTATTTCCTCTCTTAGCCCAGATCACAAACTTGGAAGTCAACCCAAGACTCTCTCTCTCTCTCTTCCATTCCCAGGTCTTGCCATTCTGTTTCCTCTTTTGGGGGGATCATTTTTCTGCCCTGCAACTCCATTGTCAGTCCTTGGACGAATAATGGTCCTGCATGTCCTCGTTGGTGCTCTGCCTAGTGTTTGGGCTCCTAACGTACTTGCCCCACCCTAATCCGGTTCTCCTGATAGATGCCAGCATTTCTATTTCCTGGTTTATATGAACTCTTCTGCTGAAAATGCTTCATCGATGTCAGGGAATCCTCCTCAGCACGGCATGCAGGAGCCTTCGGTGCCCACGTGTGTCTCTCGCCAGCCTTCATTTCCATGTCTTGCTCGGTGCTCCTCAGCACAGCGCTGCACTTCCAGCTCCCGTAGAAGTCCATGCTCTCTGGCCCTCTGATGGTTCCGCTCATTAGTAAATCCTTCCCCTTCGTTTGTCTCGCTGACTCATACTTGCTCTTCACACCTTTCAAGGACTCAGGGGAAGCACATCCCGATGCTTCAAAGATGCCCCTTGATGTAGTCTTTGTGCCTCCCTTCATGGCACTGCATGGTTGTCTCTGATTTTCTTGCTTGTTTCCCCCAGTGGACGTCGCTTTCAGCCTAGGATCCTGTCATGTTCATCATTCCTCCCATCCTTGATCCCTTGGTGCTCATAACAATGCGGGGCATATCACGGAAATAAACAAAAATGTTATTAAATCGGGTAAAATGTTTTAAAGAAGGAATTAAAAACATTTACATAGTCACAATTTTTGAGAGGGGAGGTGTGTATGATATTACATCACTATATTAATTATTATGGTGAAATAATGCTAAATTTTTATATAATATCATTCCACAGGGGAAATGTATTTTTCCTTTCTGTTTCTTTTTTGTTTTCTTTTATAAATCATTTTATTAGGGCTCTTACAGCTCTTATCACAACCCATACATACATCAATTGTGTAAAGCACATTTGTACATTCACTGCCCTCATCATTCTCTTGTTTCTGTTTTTTGCTATTTTAGATTTGATTAGATTTCAGTTGATTCATTCATTCACTTGCCTCCTTATGGAAGCAGCAAAGTGTAACCACTCAGTGGATATTAACGGGTCCTTAAACTGTGATGGAGACAGTAAGAAAATCACTTATTTTTGCTTCAATGTTTCCCTTTTTCAGTGGAGATGGGCAAAGAACTCCTGTGCTGAAGTTTCCAGGTGGAAACTTAAGCAAGACTGATTGGATGGAGCGGGGTTTAGGTGGGCAAATCGTTCCACCAAGCCAAATGCTCAGAGGGAAGAAAAGCTATTAGGGTGAAGAGGATCCTTTCTCCTGGAGTATGTGCGATGGGAAGGCTGGTTGTTAACACCACCCCAATGATCAATCAAAGCACCCATGGTGGCTGTAAATCCCAGCTTTAGACTGATTTTTCTCAATGATGGCTGAACTATAATCAATAATGGTAGAAAGATGGGGCTTTCTACTCTCATAAGGAATTAGAGTCTCTGAAACTCGCAGGGCATTTTTAGCTTATCCTATAGGGTTGATATGAGTTGCTATCAACTCAATAGCAATGAGGGTTTGTTGGGGTTCTTTTTTAGGGGGGAGGTTGGTTTTAATAGCTATTAAGAGGCAGAAACCAAGTCCTCCAGGGCTCTATGCAGTAGGAACCACTTTTTTTTTCAATTATTTTATTGGGGTTCGTACAATTCTTATCATAATCCATACATACAACCATTGTGTCAAGCACATATGTACATTTGTTGCCCTCATCATTCCCAAAAACTTTTAAGAAAACTTCTTGGAGCCTCCTGACTTAAAGGAGCATCATGAGGAGGAGGGGCTCACCACCTTAGGTTCACTTCTGTGAATTCTTGAAAATATATGGACATGATTTTGTTAACATGATGAATCTTATAGTTCACAGGTCGATTGTGAGAATTTACTGTAGCAAGGGCGAGTGATGTAGGGAAGACGCCCACTTGAAATTGGAGGCCTCTCTTGTGGAGGAGGATCTGGATTTGAACAAACACTGCTTCTGAGATATAACTGGGAGGGCCCGACTATGTTGACCATGGGAAATGTTTGCTATCTCAGAAACCTTCTTATCACAGCCTTGTCTTTGCTTGTTTTTCTTCATGTTGGTCCCTTGTTTTTTCTTAAACTTGTCTCTGTAAGATAACATATATTATGCTCAGACCTTTATTCAGTGGAGCACATTTTCTAACTCAAAGCTAACTGTCCTCCGCAGTAAAATCTTAATTACTTCTTGAAAACAAGGTTCCATACATTTTCAAGGATCAATAATTTATTCTCTAACCCCATGGCTTATGAAGCAGTCGTGTGTGTTCATTTCTTTTTCGAGTTCTTCATATAGTTACATGAACATTATTTTAGTTGTTTTGTTACAGAATCCCCAAGTCTTCATCCTAGCAAATTTATTTCCCATGGTATTTTCATAATGGGTATGGTATGATCACTAAGTGCAGAATAATGACTCACTTTCCAGCTCTTCTCTTAAAAGATGTAGGGAATTTTAAAAAGCTGACAAAATGTCTCTTTCTGTTAGCTCCCACTAAGTATGGATGTTGATTTCCTCAGCACACCTTGTTTTCCACGCCCAATATAGTTTCTGTATAGTGTGCGGTTTATAAAATTACTTCCACCAAATGTGAAAACAGTGTCAATATTTTACTTAGTAAAAGTTTTTATGAGTTTGTAGCAAAACACAAAAATAAAAAGTACCAGGGGGGCCTGCCCCTCCCCACAGAAGAATTTATTTCAAAGGACAGCATTGAATCTGCAGCTCCAGGAGAGGGACCT